GATGTTGTTGGTCTCATGATGCTTTGATGACTGTTTGCAGCTCCCAGGTCACCACACAGGAATTGTGTGCCATGTGTTGCTCTGGTTGATGCATTAGTAAACGCCATCTTGGTTTAGTTACCTTTAATCTTGTACGTTGTGTGCACTCTAGGGGGTGGTTTGAAAGTAGGATTGGGCTCTCCCAACATGAGGGAACGAGTAGATTGCGCATCCCAAACTTGCTGTGTCTGAGAGGATAATTGCAAATAAATAAAAAATACCGACATACATATATACATAAATAATCCAGCTTCTGTGTTAATTTGCAGTATAACCCAAGACCTTTGTGATGGGCTGAATTGTTCACAGTCTCAGATGTGTCAGAGAAGAGTGAGTCATGGAATCAACTAGGGAGCTGGACAGCAACGTTTGGGAAACTGGGGGAAGGTTTCAGGATGGAGGGTTTGAAAAGTGATGGCTGCTGTGTGGCCCGGGTGGAGATCTGGATCACAATTAGGAAGGGAATGCAGAGTGTAGCGGCAACGCCCCTAGTAGGTCAAGTATCCTACTAAGAGGTGCTGAAGAGTGGTTCTCTTGCGTGGCACGTGGTTGTGGTTGATGGGCATTGTCAACATGAGTGAAGGAGAGAGAAAGATCTGGCAGATGATGGCCAAGGTTCCTTGGGATGATTGGAAGAGATGGCTGAGGACATCTAAGATGGAGACAAGGTGACGGTGAGGCTGGGGCTGCTCTCTGTTGCGCGTTCTAGGGCTTCAGCAGAATCTTGTGGTCAGCTCTTATGGTGTCTGGGGTGTTTCAGAGTCTTCTGCTAGAAAATGTCTGGGGCAAATGTCATTTGTGGTTCGCTGTGCCTGGCAAGGAGACCCTTAGGGCTGGGGTTTTCACAAAGGTTCTGTAGAGGATGGTTGGTTCCCGATGGTGGAGGGACAGAATGGGCAGCAGAGAAGTAGAAGAGGGTCTGTGAGTATCCGAAGTTGACAGTGGTTGTGAGTGTCTGTTGTTGAAGGGAGGATTACAGGCAGGTGAGGAGGGCTTCTCAGCAGCATTTGGGGCTTTCCCTCATTTGGGATCCCTGAGAGTCCTGGGGTGGGACTGGAACCTGTTTGAGTTTGTCAAACATCCTTTGGATGTCATGTGACAAGCACAAGTGTGAGTCAAGGGAGGATCCTTTGGTGTGGGGCCTGAAGACATGAAAGTGGTACAGTCTACAGAATCCTGTACACATGGAGGGGAAGTGTGAGCTAAGGGCCTCAGCGCCCTGGTAGTGAAGACTTCCTGGTAGAGCAGGGCCTATAATTGGCTGTCTTGAGGGCGCACAGCATGGGAGACTCCATGGGAATATCGTGGCAGAGGGATGGGACCTTGCAGGCCAGACCCAGAGCTGAGAGTGCATCTCCGTGTCCCCCTGCCTGTTACTGCTGAGGACTGAACACAGTGATTGATGGGAAGGTGAGAGGAGAGCAGCATTAAAGGCACCAGGACCTGGTATTTATTCTGAGGTGGGGAGACTGGGGTGGATGTGGCGGGGGTTGGATTATGTGTTCTCAGAGAAAGAATGTTCATGGTTTCATCTGTCCCTTTCATGAAAGGGTGGTGTGACCTTTGAGGACATTTCCTACACTTCTCCTATCATCATTCATTTCATAGATGGCCCAGTAGAGAAAACTGTTATGTTTGCAGTGGATGTGAAAAATCTCTTATCCATAGCTCATTGTTGATTACTAATAGGGTTCAACTTGGGGAAAGGCCTTGTAAGTGTAGTGACTGTGCCAGATCTTTTACCTCTTTGTCTGCCCCCTATGCCCCCCATTATCATTGGAGATCTCAGAGCGGGGAAATACCGTATGTCTGCAGTGAATGTTGGAAGTCTTTTATCGCCAGGACTGGCTTCTTTTCTCACTAGAGTTTACACTGGGTAAAGGTCTTATGTGTTCAGTGACTGTGGAAGATACTTTCTCCAGAGAAACAATCTCATTGTACACCTAAAGCTTTACTGAGGTGAACGACCTTTTAAGTGTAATGTTTGTGGGAAATGTGTTAGTTTTTTTATAGATTTATTTATTTATTTTATAGAGGGAGAGAACATTGAGGCGAGGGCCAAATGGAGAGAATCTTCAAGCTGTCACCTGCTGAGCTTGGAGCCGGAATTGGGGCTTGATCCCGTGGCCCATGAGATCATGACCTGAGCTGAAATAAAGAGTTGGACACTTAACAAATTGAGCCACCAAGGTGCCCCAGATATGAGAAATCTTTTAAGTAGATGGCAACATTCATTCACCACCAGAGAATTTACACAAGAGAAAGGTGTATGAGTGCAACAAATGTGGGAAATCTCTTATTGGTCATACTGCTCTTAATTTTCATCAAAGAGTTCACACTCGAGAAGGGCGTTAGAAGTGCTGGGGATGTAGAAAATCTTTCAGCCAAAGCTCCAGTCTCATTAAACCACAAAGTATATAGTTGATCAAGTCCTTATGAGTGATATTATGAACTGAATCTTTATGTTCACTAAAATTCATATGTTAAATTCCTATCCTCTGCTGCGATAGGGTTAGGAATTAAGGTGATGTCTTTGGGAGGGAATTGCAATTAGAATGTGGCATGAGTGTGGAGCCCTCATGAATGCGATTATTGTCCTCATAAGAGTTCTGAGAGAGCTTGCTTCCTCTATATATCATGTAAGGACTATTTTTGAAGATCATCTATAAATAAGGATCTCACCAGACACAGAACCAGACCCTATAAGGACTGTTCTGCCAGATATCCAGCCTCCACGACTGAGAAATAAATTTGTGTTTTTATAAGCCACCTAGTTTATGATTTTTTAGAGCAGCCTGAGGTAAGACAAATGTGAAGAATATAGGTAATCGTTTGGCCAAAGATACAGTTTCAGAAAAATCAGAATTCACACCGAATTGTAAGGTCTCATGAGTGAGGTGAATGACACCATTCCTTTATCCAGTCATCTGTCTTCATTCCACACTGGAGAGTTTACATTGCAGAAAGTCTTTAAAATAGCACAGAAGGTGATATTTCCTTGCTTTGTAAAATTACAGTGGGGGAGAACCTTTTTGAGGCAGCCACCTTCCTGAATTTAACTTTGTTCACCTGAATGTCTACGGTGGAGTGACTTCCCGTAAGTTCCAGCTATTTGGGGAAGGTTTAGATGCCGCATTGTGCTTTCTGATGTTTGCAGAGTCCTTGCTAGATTGAAGTCACTGACTGTTTCTGTGGCAGAAGTCATTTAACTCCTGCCACCTGGCAGGTCCCAATAATGTACATCAGTCACCACCTCAACATACTTAAGGATGCTGAGCTCTGTGGTTTGTCACTGTTGATGGAAATTATGGGCAACTGGAACTTCTCATTGCCTTCTAAGTTAAGGCATGGATGTGACCCAGTATTTATCATGTGACCTGAGTTCTGGGTGGTGTCTTGCGGAGAAAGACTAAATTTCTTAGGAATACTGTTGGTCTTTTGATGCCCAACTGGTCAGGTGGGGCAGGGCCTCGCCCAGAAGTAGGGGATGAGGATAGGGTTCTGCACAGCAACCTGGTGAGGTCTTTTCCTTTGCAGACCCAATTGTGAGTGTGGTCACATCTTAGTGGGGACGGTGAGAAACGGGTTGAGCCATGTGGGGAGCAGGGGCGGCATGTCAGCCGACCACCATGCCAGGTGGGAGGGCAAGGGTGGTGCATGGGGACTGGAGTAGACACCTGGAGGGAGGTAGCACACCTGGGGATGCGGTTTAGGTGGGACCCTATGGGATGAGTTTCCTTTCTTCCTCTGGAGATGGATTTCCCACCATGGGTCCCCAAGGCAATCCCCTGCTTAGGGCTCCAGCTACTCTTTCCCCAGTAGTCCCCTGAGGGACACATCACAAACCATGTGGCCTGGAGGCGATGGCATGTACAAAAGATATTCAGTTCTTTTGAGCCAATTAGGGACTCAGTCTCCATAGGGATTATATTTTTCAAAATACATTGTGAAGAGATAAATTAATAACAGGAAATGAACCTCAGATCCAGAAGGCTTAGAGAACACTACGCAGGATACATGCCAAAAAAAAAAAAAAACCCACATGTAGGCATATTATTTTCAATTTCTTGAAATTATGAAGGTTTTGTTTTGTTTTTTAAGATTTTATTTATTTGACAGAGATAGCGAGAGCAGGAACACAAGCAGGGGGAGTGGGAGAGGGAGAAGCAGGCCTCCTGCGGAGCAGAGAGCCCGATGCGGGGCTCGATCCCAGGACCCTGGGATCATGACCTGAGCTGAAGGCAGACGCTTAATGACTGAGCCACCTAGGTGCCCTGAAATTACGAAGTTTTGAAAGAAGCCTGAGGGAAAAAATACCTTAGCTCCAGAAGAATACTAAGACTTAAATCCATCCTCTCAGTAACCATGCAAGCAAGAAGGGAGAGGAGTTAAATTTTTAAAGTGTTGAGAGAAAAACTGATCGGGTTAGAATTCTGTTCATTGCAAAATTATCCTTCAACAGTTCAGGGCAAACAGCCTTTCTGAAAGAAAAACTAGGGAATTTGTTGCCAGTAAACCTGCCATCAGTCCATTTGGGATGATATAACAAAATACTAGAGACCCAGGTAATTTATATAAAGATAAACATTCATTTCTCACAGTTCTGGAGACTGGGAAGTCCAAGATCAAAGTGCCAGCATGGGTGAGTTCTCTGGTCAAGATCCTCCTCCTGGTTCATAGTTTGCTTTTCTTTCTGTGTCCTTCCGTGATTGAAGAATTTAGGGATCTTGGTGGAACCTTTTTATTTTCCCCAAAAAAACCTTTTTTTTTTTTGAGGGAGAGAGAGAGAGCGCATGCACACACAAGCTGGGGGAGGGGCAGAGGGAGAGGGAGAAGTAGACTCCCTGCTGAGCGGGGAGCCCCACACCAGAGCTCGATCCCAGGACCCCGAGACCATGACCTGAGCCAAAGGCAGATGCTTAACTGAATGAGCCACCCAGGCGCCCCCGTGGAACATTTATTTATTTATTTATTTA